ATGAAAGAAAATTGCCTCTTTGGCACAATAAGCATTTGAGTCAGAAAGGCCTCTTTTTTTCTCTCTCAAGAAAAAGAAAATTTAAATTAAAAAAAAAAAATCTTATCTTTATTTCACTATTCCTACGTGCTTTATCTTATGGGACTTGTAAACAATGACCTTAAAATTCTTTTTCATAGCATTTTAACCCTTTCCTTTTTTTCCCATTATATACTATATTCGATTTTTTTACGCTCTTAAATTCTATAACTTTCTTTATGGATTCGTTCACATGTTTTTTTTCAACACGCGTGTAAAATTTATAATGAGACTTTTTTTTGCCTTTTATTCGAAACGTCTTTTTTTACCGAGTGATAAAACTTGTTTTCAAATAAAACTGCCAATTGGTTCATAAATTTTTTTTTTATATGTTTCTCGAGTGAAACTTAAAAAAAATTTTGTCGAATGAAATTCAATAAAGAAATATTCGCTTTTTATAGGTAAGAAAAAAAGTGAAAGAAGTTATCGTTATCTTATACATAAAAAAAACACTGTTAAAGTGCGATAAGTGTAATTTATTTAAACATATATGGGGTGTAAAAATAGTCTAAACGCGCGTTTTTATTAATAAAATTGAAATGGTTTATTGTTTCATTTTTATGAAGACATTGATCTCCGACATTTTCAAATGAAAGGCATACACATATAACGTGCATATATTTTTCAAAGTCAAATTATGGAAGCTGGCTTGATGCCAAAATTCTAATTTTATTATTTGAAAATACGAAACTAATGAAAATGTCTGCAAAATAAGATATTGGTCCTTACGTTAATAGTTGTTCTACATTCTTGGAAAATATAAAATATCAAATCAAAGATCAATTTTCATTTTCAAGAATTGGACTTTTTTCTAATTTAAACAAAACTAGTCAATAAATTTAAAAATCAATAAATTCGGGGATTACAGTTTTTTTTTGAAAGGGTGAATTATTTTATTAAAAAGGTGATAAAAGATGATAATTAAAAAATTAGATAAATTAAAGTTATAAGCAAAATCAATCAAATAATTTCTATTTGTATCAAATAATTTTTACTGCACCAAAATAATTTTTATTTGTATCAAATAATTTTTATTGTATCAAATAATTTTTACTATGTATCAAATAATTTTTATTTGTATTAAATATAGTTTTTATTTAACTCAATTAAACGGTTTAAATACAGAAATGTTATTAGTTCAAGTATACAATTTATTTGATTTGAACGAAAATTATTTGATTCAAGTAAATATTTATTTGATAATAGACAAGTAAATCCATAATTTAAATCAAATAAATTTTTTTTTACTGTAACTTCTTTTTATTCAGAATATGACTAATATTATTTTTTTTCATAAGATTAAAAAGTTTAAAATTTATTAATCGGACTGACAATTTTTTATTCAATAAAAATTAGAAATATGTAAATCAATTTTCGATTAAAATTTAGATTCTTTGAAATACGGAACAAGTTGTGACCCTAAAGTTGTGCAAATTTAAATTAACGAAATCTATTTATTTCTTTTTCAAATTCAAAATTCTGTCATGTTTGAAAAAAAAACAATTTATAAACTTTGAAAATATTAATTTTTGGTTTTTCATTTTTATTAAAATCAATAATTTTTCAAAATATTATATATCGAAAATATATTTCGTTCATTTCAACTCTTATTATTCGCTTTTTGCAGCCAAAGAAACCTTCAAGTTCAAGGGGAAATTATTTTAACCCTTGTGTTTAAAAATATCCACCGCGATTGTTTATTTTCTTTACCCAAGCGAATATTTTCCGAAAATTATTCAATTTGTTTCATAAACTTTTGTTGTGAACTTGTTAAATATAATCTTTCAAGCGATAAAACAAAGTAAACGCAATAAATAATAAACGGAATTTCAATTTATTTTCAATTTCAAAAACGAAAAAAATAGCAAACAAATTCAAAATTTTTTTCAAATTTAAATATTTTAAAAATATAATTATGCTTTTGAATAAATTAAAGAAATATTAATTAGGGAAAGGGTATTTTTTCAGTAAGTCCGTAAATACTAAATTAATTAATTTAATACTTTGTCGATGTAAAAAAAATATTTCTAATTTCGTTTCCCTAAACAAAAATACCTTCAAGTATTTATTATATTCTGGATATTCAAAATAATACCAGTAATATTTCAAAATCTTGGCATTCAAAAGACGTCTTTTTTGATAAAACCAGCGCAAATATAATTTTTAATAAAAAAACAATTTTTTCCCTAATTCAAAATTTTTTTCATAATAGTAAAAAAAAAGTTGAAAAAATTTAATACTTGCATTTTTTATTTGAATTACTAATTAGTACCTATAAATTGAATATAAAATCGAAATATAAGGACAAGTGCGTGGATTGGTTAAACTTTGGCACTTGAGGAAACGGGATGTCTGTCGCGCTTCTAGTATATAGTGTCTATACAGAGAGATTTCTGAGTGAAATTAATGGGCCGTGATACATTACTGAGGAGCAATATAACGCACACGTAAGAGATTTTGCGTTGGAGAAACGCGCCACGCGGAATTAGGCCGCCCACGCATTTTATGCCCCGAGAGATGTGCAAGAGACGCGTTCCCGTCGAAGCAAAGTATGATAAAAATTTTCTGGCCAGATGGGCAAGAGTTGCGTAAGAATCTTTATAATACAAGAGTTGTGTGCGATGCTTCATGCCAGAACAACAACGGCGAATAACATATATCTGTACCACCTACATTTACAACTAAATGAAAAAAAAAGAAATTACAGGGTTGCCACAAAAATTTTATTTTCTTTTTCCCTGATTTTCGGACAAAATTTTGATCTTTTCTCTGATCCTTAAGAATATTCTAATTCACTCTCAAATTGAATAGACACTCAAAAAAAATGTTCTATTACCTTTATATATATACAAATTTTTCCCCACGTCGAAAAATCCCATGGAATAAGCTTTGTTGCAATTTATTTGCAAAACCAGTGTCGTTTTTCAAGAAATGAATTTTTTCTGAATCGGAAATAAATTCTAAAAGAGTCCTGAGTAAACCTTCGTGTTTCAGAAAAAGCTCTTCTTTATAAAAAAAGCTCAAATTTAATATTCGACTCCAAAAATTGTGAAAATAATAATGTACAAGACCAGCGTCGTTTTTGAAGATACAATTTTTTTCTGAATCGAAAAAAAATTCAAAAATAATTCTGAGTACTTCCGTAATTCGGAAAAATCTCCTCTTTAATAAAAAAAGCTCCAATTTCTGAGTACCTCCGTGTTTCGAAAAAAGCTCCAATTTGATGAAGAAAAGCCCAAATTTAATATGCAAAAATTGTTAAAAAAATTGTCAAGACTGGAGTTGTTTTTCAAGATACAAATTTTTTCTAAATCGGAAATAAATTCTAAAACAGTTCTGAGTACTTCGTGTTTCGGTTTATTATTAGACTCTAATCATAATAAAAATGTTAAAATCAATTATTTTTAATAGTTTTCAAAAAAGGTCTTTGAGAATTTTCAAAATTCATTTATTTACAATACTATTTTACGAAATTGTTAGTTTAAAGTATGAAAAGTTCAGATTTTCAAAGATTTTAATTTGAAACCTTTTTAAAATTCAATTTTTTCCAAAAAATTTAAGCTATAATTCTTTTAATATACAATTATTATCTAAAATTTTTTCAATAAATTTTTAAATAATTGAATTCTTTCGACGAACATTTTTTTCAAGGAATTCGATTAAAATTGTATTAAAAATAATTGAAATTCTGCGATGAGTTTTATTATTTGTAAAAATAATTGAATTCCTAAAAAGAATTTTATTATTTATGAAAATAATTGAATCCCTGTAAAATTTTTTTATTATACTTATCAAAATAATTGAATATTATTACGAAGAAATATTTTTCAAAATTTATGAATAATTGAATTCCTGTGGAATTTTTATTATATTTATAATAATATTTAAATGTTTGTGTAGAATTTTATCAAAATTCTTTTTAAATAATTAAATTCTTTTGGAAAATTTTATTATAATAGTATAGATATTGAAAATCATTGACTTGAGGGAAATTTTTTAAAATAATTGAAATTTTGACAAGAATTTTATTAAAATTTTTGAAAGTAATTGAATTTCGGAGAAGAATTTTATTATTTATAAAGATAATTGAAATATTGATAATATTATTTAAAAAAATTTTTGAACATAATTGAATTTTTGCTAAAAATTTTATTATTTTTGAAAATAATTGAAATTCTGATCTAACTTCTCAAAAATTGAATTTTTTTGGTGTCTTTAACAAAAAATCTTTTATAAATTCATTACTTGTAACAATTAATTAAATAATATTCATAAATTTAACTCATTTCAAAAAAAATTTGAATTATTAAAATTTTTCAAAAATTTAAGTTCTTTAAAAATTACTCAAAATTGTAAACGCAACTCTTTTAAAATTCAATTAATTTTGAAATATTTAAGTAAAATTATTCACGAAATAATTTATAAGTACATAATAACTTTATGATAGTTCTTCAAGAATTAAGTTATTTAAAAAGAAATTATTGTCAGAAATAGAAAAAATTAAAGGTTTTGCATAGAATTCGTTGTAATTTCATAGTTTATGAGTCAACCAAAAAAGACACAAAAATTCAGAATTTTCTTATGAATTCTAAAAATTTAATTTTTTTCCAATACATACTTTTAATAAAAATCCCTGACTCTTTCCTGATTTCCTTATTGCCTATAATATTTTTAATATTTTCAAAAATTACTGTAACAAAATGAAAAATCATTTAAATTAAACAATTTAAATTCGTTATGATCCAATTTCTTTAATTTACAAAAAGTAAATTTTTAATAAAATTCAAATTTGAACAAAGTATTGAAAACAATTCAAATTGTTTGCGAAGCAAAGTATTAGTAATGAGTTAAAATGACTAAGTAATTAATTGCGTATGGTGAAAAGAGGGGATAAAGGGGGGAAATCAGGTGTGATGGCCCTTACGAGCAATTTTGAGAGTTAGTCTCTCGCAATAACGAATGATAACAGTATTTTATATTTGACGACGAATTTATTTTAATTTAATTAATTGTAATTGTGATCCAGGCCTGTGACAAAGTGAATAAATTAATTTCAAGACTATTGTACATTAAATTCTGTGTTTTAGTTATTTTCTCATTTATCAACCATTGACTATTATTATTTTAAACAACAAAAATCGCGACTCGAGACAAACAGTTAATTAACAAAATTTTATCTACTCGACGCGTAACACAAATCAACAAGTTCATTCGAGTGAGTGTACGAAACTTTAGGATCATCAATATCCTAATAAAAATTTGTTCTACATCGACATTTTTTTTTAAATTTTACCTCGAATTTTACTGATATAGTGATAGTACATTTTGTTCTTAAAAAACAAATAGAACTTTAGAAAAGAAGAATTTTTATTTAGTAAATAACAAAAACGTGTTTCCCTAATGACACTTTCTTTAGTGCGTGATGTTAGAGGCCAACCAGCTTAGTCAGTGAATCTTGGTTTGCAAGCATATTGATCATAAATTATGAAAAATGCAGATTCTCAACTTTTTTTTTTATTCCTATTTTCTATTAAGTAATCGACCTCGGGAATTCGATTGACCGAATATTATATTCTTTTTTTTTTATTAAATAATATTTTACGAGAGAAAATCGTCGAAAACAATTTTTTTTTGCACACGAGCATTAATCAATTGTTTATATATTTTTTTTCTGTTATAAATTATTATTTACGCAAAATATTCAATATTAATATGCACTTTAGCGAAGTAAAGACTTTTTTTTTAAATTTTTTCTTTTTGCATAAATTAAATTTTTTTCAAAGAGAAGAAAACTGATTACCTTTCGGGTCAAATTTGTACTTTTTTTCCTCTCTTCCCTATTGTTAGCACCTAAAATTAATAAAATCCCCTAAAACACATGAAATCGTGCATATTCTCCACTTTTCACATTAAAAAAAAAATTACAAAAAATATAATTTTCTTATAAAATTGAATTTTTTTTAGTTAAGTTGAAGAAACAAAATTTCTACGTTTTGAAACGGAAAAATTTCAAAAGAGTAATTAATTTAACATATAGAGTAATTTAAATTCATTGTATTTAAAAACATTTAAAGTGATTAAAACTTGTGTGAATTTAAATAATAAATTATTATTGCATGCATGTCTACAATTATCTCAATTGTGGAAATTAAAAATGTATAAAGCATAAAATAATTTAAATTCGTTTAGTAAAAAGTATATTATAGACTTTGTTGGCTTTGACTTATTCACTTTTAAAGACTTCGTATCTTGTGATAAAGTTTTCCAGATAGGCCTCTACTTATATTTCACGACGCATTATAGGTACAGAAAAAATATTTTTTACATTTTCAAACACGAAGTTTGTATTCGCGAATATATTTCAATTTCTATAGAATTTTTCTCCTAAACTTTCTATGTTCCTTTTTCCATAAATTTGATTTTCAAAGAGAAAGTTTGTAAAAGAAAAGAGTTTGTTAATTTTTATTTTGTTTTAACGATAAAATAAATTATATTTTCCAGATTATAAAGGAGAATTATCTGCAAAATATATTATTATTATACGCAATATTATGCAGGCGTTTTAAACGTAAATTAAAATTTTATAGTTTTCTATTTATATAAAAGCAGTGTGTTTAACGATATTATTTTTCTATACAAACAGAATTTATTTTATTTCTCAAAGTGCTGAATTTAAAAATCGGAAAACATAATTTTAATTAGTTATTATATAATTTAAAAAAAAAATTGGTTGGACAATTACAAAAAGTTGATCTCTAAATTTTCGAATTCGTGTCTTTTTAGATACTAAAAATCAATAATTGCTTTTTTCTAATGTTTTTACTAATAAAATTAATTTTTTTTAACTGACCAAGGAAAAAATAAGACAAAATTTTACAAAAATTCTTATATAGTTATTTATAACTAATTTAATTACAATTCATAACAGTCAATTTCATTATTCAGCAAAATATGATTTACTAAAAGCCAATATTTGACATAATGTTTACAGTTATTTTTAACTAATAAAAAAATTTTAATTTACAACAATTCAGCAAAATAAAATGTACAAAAAGCCAAAATTCGACCAATATATTAGTACTTATTTTTATAACTAATTAAAATTTCCAATTTTTCCAATTTCAGTAAAATGGAATAAATTGAAGTTCAAAATTATAAATTTTCAAATTCAAATCTGAGTGAAACAGAATTTACTTAACAATTTTATTGAATACAAAAAGTATTTAAAATTACCACAAAAAATAAACCTCAACACTCTTATTTCAATAGTAAAAAATTATAATTAAAATAACACAAACAAACAAAAAAACGACAGCTGTTGCTTATCTTTTTTAAAAAATGAAATAAAACAAAATTTTCTGTGTCAAAAATTTCGAAAAATTGACGAAAAAATGTGTCGAAGATTATATTATAACCTCGACTATATATGTATATATGAAAAATATATAGGTCAATGGTTGCGTTGTTCGCGCCTATATATAATAAAGAAGCAAAACCCTTTGTCGCGAGAACCTATAAAACCTAAAGAATGTGTCGAGAATTTTAGACACACATATGGAGGCCAAAATATACCGGCTGAGGAAATCAAAGTCAACATGTGGTTATAATCAGGCGCGTAGGAAGTTCCTTTTTAAAACAAAGACTCTCTGTGTGAAAACGCGTTTATATTTATTTTTAAATTACGTACACCAAAGATACTAAATCAACTTTCTTTTTTTTACAGTACTATATATTATTTTTTTTATTACACTTTTTATAATTATTTATTTATTGCTTATTATTTATTATCAGTGCATTATTACTATTACTATCATTAACTGTTATTTAATATTATATATTATTATTATTATTATTATTATTATTTATTATTATTTTTTAGTTTCATTATCTATTATTATTATTACTTATTATTATTTATTGTTATTATGATATTTATTACTATTATTTACTGTGCAAATTATATGAAAAATAAGTACACCGAAAAAAAGTTCATTTGACTCAAATAAACAATTATTTACTTATCTTTTATTAAATAATTATTTATTTGTATCAAATAACTTTTATTTAAGACAATAATTTGATATTTGCTTCAAATTCTGAAATTATTAGTTCAAATACAATTTATTTGATTTAAACAAAAATTATTGGATTCAAGTAAATATTTATTTGATAATAGACAAGTAAATCGATAATTTAAATCAAATAAAAAAATTATTAAAATATAATATAATAAGAAATATGTTAATTAAAAAAATAATAAAAGGAATAATGAAACAAATGAGCAAAAAAGTGCATAATTAAAAATGTAATGAATTATTAGAAAAAGAAACTGATTTCAGTCATAATCTCGAGAATATTAAATAAATTTTTTCAGTGTTAAAAAAGTTTGAAATTTATAGATCGGATAGACAATTTTTTTTTAATAAAAATTTGGATTCTTTAAAACACGGAGTAAGTTATGCTCCTAAAGTTTTGCAAATTTAAATTAACGAAATCTATATTTATTTCTTTTTCAAATTCACTGAAATATAAATTAATTAAAAACATTTTTAGAAATTGTACTTTAATATTATTTTAATAAATTATTTGAAAATAAAATTATTTATTATTTATTTATCATTACAGTACAAAATGTAAGTTTCGAAATTTCTGACACAGTAAATACGTTAAAATATTACTAATAGTTTTATGCTCAAATTTGTTGCATTCGTAAATTTTTTTTGTCCATTCTTTAACAATTAAAAAATTCCGTTAATTATGTAAGTGACAAATATAATTTTTTATACTAATAATTGTGAAAAAATTCTTTTATTTACATTCTCGGGATTATGATTGAAATCAGTTTCTTTTTCTAATAATTCATTAGATTTTTAATTATGCACTTTTTTGCTCATTTGTTTCATTATTTATTTTATTTATTTCCAATTAACATATTTCTTATTATATTGTATATTAATAATTTCTAATATATATTAAAATATTAATTAGATAATATTAAATATAATTATAATATTAAATACTAAACAGTAATGAAAATAAATAAATATAATTTTAATATATTAATATAATACAAAAAATACTATTCTTTTCTATAATGCAATTTGTATACGTGAAATCAGAAAAAATACAAGAATTCGGAGTAGGTGGACCTGCAAGGGCATATTAGAAACACGAAACCGAAATGATAAAATTCTTATGCAATACATTTTGGAGTCATCTCTCTTTCTCTTAAGCAACTCCTCTGCCAATTTGAAAAGTATTATGAAAAAAATAAATTTAAAGATGAAATTCATTTATTATGAAGAACGATACAAAAAATAATCTCTCTAATTACAATAGACAACAGTTTACAGGTGAATTTTATTTTCTCGAAAGGAAATAAAATTCCTACGACTTTTATAATTCAACGAAATTCTCATCTTTATTTTTTTACATTTTTTCCTATCACACATAATTATTTATAATGAAAACAAAATTTCAAATACAACTTTTAGGAAAATTCCCATAGAAAAAAATGGATAAAAACCGGTTTTAGAAGAGATTGCGAGTAGAAAATGCTGAATAAAAGTGTATTAAGAATTTTTTTTAAACAGAGAAACGCCCCATAAAGTTCTATAGTTAGTTATAGTTCAAGGTTTCGTTCATGGGATTACTGAATTAGTAGGTGGAATTTTTCTCCCATTTATCTTTCACTATTTCACATATATTACTCGAATGACAATGAATAAATATAATGTAAATTTGAAAACAAATGGAGGCTCAACAAGTCGAATGCATAAAAAAATAAATTAGAAAAATGAAGTATAGAAAAAAATAAAATTAATAAAAAGTGAAATGAAAAGAATAAGAAAGAATTAAAATTAAAAAGAAAGTGAAATAAAACTATAAAATAAAATTTATTTATTTATTTAATAAGAAATATACGGGACAAGGAAATATATAAGACTAAAACTAAAAGAAGCGAAATAAGAAAGATGAAATTAAAAAACAAAAATGTTAACTGGCAGTGCCCGTAAATAAAAAAATTAACAAAATATAAAAATTAGAATTAATGAAAAATGAAATATATGAAAATCAAATTAAAAAACTGAATTCAGAAAAATCAAAATAAAAAAGTAAAATACAGAAAAATAAAAAATATTTTGCCTGTGTACGAATACATAAAATAATTTTAATGTCAAATTTATTGACAATGATTGATGAATGTAATCAATTTATAAAATTACTTGCGCGATGTTTCATATATATATACATATAGCATTATTATTAATGCCATAAAGTATAATTGTCGAGATAATTTTTTATTATTCCCTATATATATACGCCCGATAAAGTCTTTAATTATTTACTGATGGGAATTAAATTGTCGATTATTCCCATTTCTCTAAGAGATGAAATTTTTATATAAGAAAAAGAAAAGAAAACTTTATATAAATTACTCTGTAATAATTGCGATTATAAATATGCAACTTTTTTTTAACATCTGTCTCACATGACCTTGTATTGTTTTCAAACCATTATATCTATATACTTATATAGTTGATTCATTGTCATGATTTATTATTTTATTAAAAGTAATTATGATAATTTTCGATATATATAGGTAATGCATCGTAAACTTAACAAGATTAATAATTTTCAATATATATTTGTTTTTAATATTAATATAATATTCATTTTAAGTATTCATTTCTAATTATTATTTTTTTTAACAACAAAAAAGCAAATGTTAATTTTTAATTTTTCACAATGAAAAAAAATTTATTTGATTCAAATAACTGATTACTTGTCAATTATCAAATAAATCTTTTTACTTGAATCAAATAACTTTTATTGATATTAAATAAATTGTATTGAAAATTGTATTTATTTGAACCAATAAATTCAGTATTTGAAGCAAATATTATTTAATTGATTTAAAATTAAAAATTATTTGATTCAAGTAAATATTTAATTGATAATAGACGCAAATAATCAGTTATTTCAATCAAATAAATTTATTTTTCTGTGCAATATTAATATATTATTATTATTAAAAATTTTATATATTGTCAGTGGGTTATTTTTAAAAATAAAAAAATCGCTTTTTCAGTATTTATGCAAATACATATTTCAAAAATTTTGAACTTTCAAATAAACGAAATATTTTTTCGTTATAAATATTTTTATTTTTTATAATTACTCATTGAAATAAAAAACAAAAAATTTATTTGATTCAAGTAAATAATATTTATTTGAAATATTTACTTTTATAATATAAATAATTATAATCGTTTATTTGAATCAAATAAATTGTTTCTCAGTGAAATAAAAAAAAAATGACGAAAAGACAAAATTGAATCGATATTTAAAGAAAAACAGTTGCGCATGGATTTCATAAAAAAAATTCTCTTATACAATACTAATGCACCTACTGGAAAAAATTGAACAATTTTTTTTCAAACAATAAACAATGTGTCAAGATAATGGGTAAAACGATATTTCCTGAAAAACCAGACTTTCATTTTTTTTTCGAAAAATACTCTATGTGTCAAATAACTATTTTTTGACAGACAATGACAAGCTTTTAGTCCGCGTCGTCTTCTTCGACCACCCGTATAAATTGAAAGTACACATTTTATCCTACAAGAAACACCAATTTATTATTTTTACTCCCACGTAAATTTATCCTTTTCATGAAAAGTCGATCAAAAAATTACAATTTTCAAAAAAGAAAAAAAAAATTCTTTTAAAAGTTCCATCTGAATAAAAAATAAATAAGTAGTACTAATGAAAAGGTAAAAACGTAAAAAAATTGAAAAAAATCCTTCTTTATAATTATACAAAAAGAATTTTTTTTCAAAAATAAATAATGCAAATTTATAATTGTGGTGCGCTTTTTTTTTTTTTGATATGAGAAATAAAATTATATAGTTGCGAGTTGATGCGAATATAATAGCATATTATACTTGTAAAAATTGAATCTACCTGATCTAATAGAGTTGTAAAAATAAATCTCTACTTATGTTCTCTCTTCTCTTTTTTTGCAGATTAATTAAATGAAAAGGAACAACAATGTACAGTCTAAATGTGAATGTGAATCCTAGTCCTTCGGCTGCCGCGGGTCTTCTTGGTGTCGCGGCGGCCGAGGTCACTCCAAGGACACCGGAAATTGTAAATTCCCTTATCGCCATGACGAATCCCTTTGAGAGTTACAATAGCGAAAAAACAAGAGATCGAACCGATTCAACGAGTAGCGGCGAACCAAGTCCTCCAAGTGTTCAACATACCTGCAGTCAGCTTATTAAAGAAGGTACCAAAAACAATTTTTTTCTATCATCAGAAGAAATTGATTATTTTCCTAAATAGATCAAAAACGATAAATTTCATATTTTCTTCTTGAGAAAAAGACAAAGAACAAACAATAGAACTTATCGAAAACGAATTCTACAAATGAAGTTAAAATAGGTACCTATAAAAAGAAATTTTTAAATAGAGAAAAAATAGAATATGTTTTTTTTCATACAGGGCTCGAACTATGTTTGTAAATGCCGTAAAAATAATTTTTTTTTTAAAAAAGGTCCGTAAAGTTCATATTTTGATTGAAAAAGGATGAAAAGTTCGTAAATTGTACGATATAATTTGGAGAATTTTAGAGAAATTACAAATGATTGCAGAAATTCAATTATGTTCAAAAATTTTTGAAAATTCTAGTCAAAATTTAAATTATCTTTAGAAATAATTAAATTTCTTCTCCGAAATTCAACTATTTTCTTAATTCAATTATTTTCAATATCTACTATTTTAATAGAATTTTCCAAAAGAATTCAATTATTTCAACAAAATTTAATAAAATTCTACGCAATCCTTTAATTATTTTCATGAAATAATAAAAATTTTACAGGAATTCAATTTACAAATTTTTTTTATAAATTTCTCTACAATCATTCAATTATTTTCATAAATAAATAAAATTTTTACATGGATTCAATTATTTTCGTAAATAATAAAATTTTATTTAGGAATTCAATTATTCTGATAAATAATAAAACTCATTGCAGAATTTCAATTATTTTTAATACAATTGTAATCGAATTCCTCGAAAAATGTAATTATTATTTAATTGTAAATAATTATTCGACGACATCAATAACTTTCTTTTTCTTCAAAATTATTTTCATCATTTAAATTCAATTATTATTTTCAAGAATTTTTAACTAAACTTCTAAATGAATTATTTTTAATAATATTTGACAAAATTTTTTGAGAATTTTTACAAAAAAATTTAAATTAAACTTTTTCAAAAAAATTAGTTTCTATTAGAAAGTTTAATTAAAAGTATGGAAATTTCAGATTTTCAAAGATTCTAATTTGTAAACTTTTTAAAATTCAATTATTTCTAAAAATTGCAATTATTTGTCATTTTTCCAAAATTCAATTATTATATAAAAGTTTAACCAAAATTAATTTTAAAATAAATCTTTATTAGAAAATTTTACAAGAATTAAATTATTAAAATACAAAAATAAAAAATAATTGAATTCCTGTGAAAGTTTTATTATTTATGAAAAAAATTAAGTGTTTGGGTAGAATTTTATTAAATATTTTTTTTTAAATAATTGAATTCTTTTGGGGAACTTTATTAAAGTAGTAGATATTGAAGAACATTGAATTGAGAAATATTTTTGAAAATAATTGAAATTAGGACTAAAATTTTTCGAAATAATTGAATTTCGGCGAAGCATTTTGCTATTTATATGAATATTAATTGAAATCTTGACGAGAATTTTTTTTTAAATTTTGAAAATAATTGAATTCTTGTGATAAATATTGTTATTAATGAAAATAATAATAATTCTTTAGCCAGTAGAAATAAATAAATTTCAAATTTTCTTCTAGAGAAAACAAAAAAATTAAATAAAAATAGTTTGTCGAAAACCAATTCCACAAACAGTGACGAAACAAGAAAAATTTTTTGAGAAAGAGAAAAAAAATGTATTCGGAATTTCCGATAAATTATTAATAAACAAAACGAAAAGTCCCAAAAATGTGTTTTCAATCTTTTAGAAAAAAATATTAACAAATTACGCTAGAAGAAAAAAATAAATTCCACATTTCCCTCTACAAAAAATGAAAAAGAAGCAAAAATAGTTAATACAAGTAAAATTTTTCAAATGTATAACAAAAATACGCATTCAACCGGAATTTCCGATAAATTATTATAAATGAATAAAAGCAAAATAAGTTCCAAAAGTTTAAATAAAAAAAATTTGCGAAATTACCATTATATTATTTATTTACTGACTAAAAATACTTAAACCTGTTTGTTTTTAACAAATCTGCATAATTTTTCAGGATTAAAGCTGACTCTTCAAACAAAAAGAAGAGCACACGGCAGTGGCGATGAAAGCAAGAAAAAGACGAGAAAAGAAGATGGTAGTGCAGACGACGAAGAAGATGACGACTCCAATCACAACAATCATTCTGTAAGAGTGAGACATTTTTTTCCCATCATTCAAAAATGAAAATAATTTTTCACCCCTTAAATTAATTTTTCCTAAAGAAATATCAAAGATAACAGCTTTTGTTTTAAATTTCCATTTGAAAATTGTTTTTTTAATTATAAAAAATTAGGAATATTTTGTGAATAAAATTCAAATTAACATATGTAATAAAAATATCGTCGTTCATTTGAACGTTCGAAACTTTAAGAACATAATATTTTACAATATGCAAAGAAAATTTCAGTAAAAATTAGTAAAATTTACTTTGGACTTAGTAAAATTTCCTCCAAAAGCAGTAAAATTTACTATGCAATTTTTTTTTTACTCTGGAAATAATAGTTTTTAATAACAAATTATACTAATGTTCGAAGAAAACTTAAAAAAAATGTATAAAAAAAACTGTGGAAATAATAAAATTTGTTATTAAAAATAAAAATCGTTATTTCCAGAGTAAATTTTATAATATTCGAATAGTAAATTATAGAAAAAAATTAATAAAATATTCTTTCAACTTAGTAAATTCTGATTCACTCCAAAAATTATTGGATACACAAGAAAATGTTCTTAATACATTTATTTGTGATTATATTCAATTGTGAAATTACTGGAAATATGAATCATTTTTTTTAAATAAATATTTAATCATTATCATCACATTTTCACAGGAAGAAAGATTTTCAAAAATTAGAAATTTAAAACTTTCCGAAATTGTATTATTTATTTATTTATTTAATTTATTTTATTTTATTTTTTTTTTTGCAAACAAAAATCTTACGAATTATTCGATTACTTTTGAATTTTTTAAAATTGATCAGGCCAAAATAGGAAAAAAATCAAGGAATTTTTTTAAAAGTACTGAAAAAAAATAAACTTTGAAATCACTACCAATTTCAATACAAAATCTTAAAAAATGTTTACACACTAAAAAATTTAATTTATTTTATACACTAAATTAATTTAATTAGAAATGCGCATAAAGTAATTGATATTTAGAAGATTTGTGTTTCCAATTGTGATAAATAATTGAAATTTGAAAGATTTTCGTTTTTAATTTCTATAAATGATTGAAATTTATTGTAATATTAATTATTTTCAATTTTTTTTGTTCTATAGGAACGCGGGAGATATAATGTAGATAAACAAATAAATAAGTGTTATGTTTTCAATTTTTAAAATTATTTGGAAGAATTGTGTTTTCAATTTTTATAAGTGACTGAAATTTTGAAGACTTGTGTTTGAATTTATATAAACAATTGAAATTTCTTTCAATTAATTATTAATTATTTGATAATTTTAATTATTAATTATTATTTTCAATTATTTTTTTGTTCTACAGCAACCCAGGACATAATGTCAATAAACAAATAAGTAAATAAGTGTTACGTTTTCAATTTTTATAAATAATTGAAGTTGTAAGAGTGGCATATTCAATTTTTATAAATAACTTTTTTGACAAAAATTTTCGTGGTAATTATTGTCAAAAATAGAGAAAATTTAAAGTTTTGTATTAAAATTCAAGATAACTTTAATGTTTATAAAGTGAACAAAAAGAAAATTTTTTTTTGAGTTTTCAATATTTTCAAAATTAGAATTTTATCAATTCCAGAAATTTATTACTTTTGATAAAATTCGCATATTTTTCCCTGAATTCTTTCATCTTACAATTAATTTATCCCCTAATTTTAATATTCCCCTTCAGGTGTTTTAGGACATTTTATTAATTTCGGGAGGATACAAAAAAGGGTAAAAGGGGGATTTAGTAAAAAAAGCGAACTAACTGTGATCCCTGGCATTTTTTTCCACTCCCGAAGAAGAGTATTTAAAGAATATTCTTTACTAAGAAAAATGTTTTCAATTTTTTCAGTTGACTCCAGAGGACGAGGAGAGACGTCGCCGAAGACGAGAGCGTAATAAAATAGCAGCGACAAAATGCCGATTAAAAAAACGCGAGAAAACGGTTATTCTTGTGCAGGAATCGGAAATTCTCGAGACACAAAATCACGATCTAAAGACTCAAATACAAGAATTGGAAACTCAACGACGAAGACTCGTCGATATGTTGAGTTTACATACGCCAACGTGCGTGAAGCATGGTGGCGCAAGTGACACTTCCTATCAACAATATGCCGAGCCACTTCCTCCATTACCTAGTTATCAAGAAAATTTCCTATCGCCACAATTAAATCCAACGCAAAATTGCGTCTCGGATTATCCAGTTAAAGTTGAGAATTTCGATAGTTCAGCATCGGATTATTATCGACAAAATAGTCCCTATATACCAACATCGGATTCAAGTTGCACTGTCTAGTCGATGAGACGTTGATTTTTTATTATTATTATTAATTAATTAATAATTATTATTCGGAGAGTCGTGGACTTTTGGATATCAAAGTGAATCTTCCAAGAAAGACACAAATGCCGTCAATCCACTTCCAAATGTATACAAAAATTTGGCACAAGATACAGTATTTATTTCTAAATTTAATCGCTAGCTTTATAATTTAATTTTTTTTTTTTAAGAAAGAATATATCTCCGCGAATTGTATTTTTTTTTAACATAGCAATTTTTTTTATTCTCGTATATATACGACTTTCTGTGGAATTTCCATGTAAAGGGCAATTACAAAAATTTTTTCTTCTTCTTTACTCTTCTTTTATAGAAGAGAAATCAATCGATTTGCCGAAAAAAGGGAGGCGCAATTTTTACACCCAGAGAAAATTTTATTCGAATCAATAATATAATTTATTTCAGTTAAATAAACACTGAGAAAACATTATACTTAAATGAAACACAAAAATAATGTTAGACGATTTTGTTTAATTGAAATTAGTTTGTAAGTTTAATCTCAATATACAGAAAATATCTACTGCATTGATTCAAAAGTATTATTTGTCTTAATAATTATATTTAATTCAAACATATTTTTTGTTACGGTTTAAACAAAAATTATGTTTAAAAATTTTAAGTTTGAATCAAACTTAAAAAGTTGACTACAGATAATTTAAAATCAATCACAATTTATGTTTGATTTTAATATATAATCTCTTAAGCTGAACCAGAAAATATGTTTGAATTAAACTTAAATATGTTTGACTGTATAGCAAAGATATTTTAAGTTTGATTTAAACAAAATTTGTTTGAATCAAATAATTTCTTTTCTCAGTGAAGGTATGTTTGTTTAAATTTATTAATTATTTTCAATAAACATTTTTTCGACAGAAATAAAGTTTCTTTGATACAAAATAATTAATTTTATTTGAACTATATAAAATTTCTTTGAAACAAATAAAATTCCTTTAAAAGAAAGAAATTTATTAGAAGCAAATAAAATTTCTTTGAAAGAAATAAAATTTATTTATAACAAATACAATTTATTTGAAACAAATAACAAGTACCTAAACTCTGAGTCAAATATATTTTTTTCTGGGTGTAAGTCAAGAAATTAAAAAAAATGTAAACCGTCGCCAATGCTGGAGGCAATTCTGAATTTAATGGATAAAATTTGTATAAATAGTTTCTTCCTGAAGTACTTTTTCGACCATTCAATGTGTGTCATAGTAAATATTTTTCTATTTCTAGTATTTTAGTAAACAAATTTAATTACTCACTTTTTTATTGATAGAAAATATCGTGGATTCCATTTTTCGCGGACAAAAATATCCTCACTGGTTAGTTTTCGAAATCTCACTTTTCTTAGAAAAAAGGGTAAAAAATACCTGAAAAAAATATTCTCGTTTGCAAATCTTCTTTTAAAAAGTAAAATATAAATAATGTGAAATATAAAAATAAAATAAAAATGTAAAATAACAAATTTACAGATATAATAATGGGGATATAAAATTATAAATACAAAAAGAAATTAAATATAGAAAATTATAAATATAAAAATATACATCTTGAGAAAAGGTACATTTATCTCACAGCAAAATAGAAATTTATTTGTTACAAATTAATTTTATTTGATTGAAATAGAATTTACTTGGTTCAATAAAGTTTTCTTTGTTTCAAATAAATTTTATTTGATTGTAAAAGAATTTATTTGATTCAAGTAAATTTCTATTGGTTGAAATAGAATATTTATTATTGTCAAAAAACTGTATTTGTGACAAATAAATTTTTTTTTAAACAATTAAATAGATCTGTAAACTATGAGATAAATGTAAATATTATATTTAATCCAAATAGATTTTATTTGATCCAAATAAAATATTTCTTTGGGTGTAAATAGAAAATAATAAATGTAAAAATACAAATAAGAAATTTATACGCTTATTAAAGTAAAAGTACTTCAAATTAAAAATTACCTTAAATGCAGGATCAAAAAATAATTTTTTACAAACTAAAGCAGAAAAAAATAGTTTTTATTTTCAAAAACTTACGATTTCAAAAATATTCGACTCGAAAATTTTTCAGTGAGTTCGTTGAATTAAACCGATGAAATTAATTATATATGTATTTTTGAATTAATTCTTTAATTTCAAATTTTCAATTGTCTTTTTAAATTAATATAATAAAATTTCTAAAAAGATTAATAATATTAAATAATTAAAATTCATGACAATTTTTGAATGGTCTCCTTTACTGAGCTTCCGAGAATAAAAATTAGTTTTCTAGTTCCTAGTCGAACTGTATATAATAAAATACAGTAAAGCAAATTAGAATAAAATGTCAGAATCTTGTGGGAAAGAGATGCGGGATACATATTATTATTCATTATCGGTACTTAAAAAAATATCAAATTTAATTTAAAAACAATAAAATTCATTCAAAAGTGAAAATAGAAAAAGTTCATTCAAAAATAGAAATAATCCATTTAAAAATAAAAACGAAAAAATTGATTCAAAAACAAAAAGAAAAAAATTATTAAAAAATAAAAAATATGACTGTATTCTTTTTTTATAATAAATAAAAAGGGAGATAAAGAGATTATGCATTCCAAGTGAGAAAATATATAGAGAAAAGGAAGTCTGAAGTGCTGAAAATTTATAAAAGTGCGATGGTAAATTTTTCTACTTTTCGAAATTTAAAAAAATATTTAAAATCGCTCTAGAATAATTTCTCTGCGAGTTTCTTTTTTTTTACTACTGGTCAAGTATCCAGCACTCTTTTCCGTTAAAATTAAGTTTTAATATTATTAAGTCGCCCAGTGTATTTTATTATAATTAACAACTTATCTTCTTCCGTCTTTCGTAACAATTTTCTGTACTTTCAATTATTATTGAGACGTTCGAGGCGAACGTCATGAGACATTCCTTCGTTACTAATACTTCTACTGTGACATTCTTTAAAGCCTCATTTTTTTTCTTTATTTTATTTTTTTTCTAAATAACTACGCTTGTATAGAAAATTCTTAGGACAAAGTAAGAAACGCGATTTTTGTGATATCTCTATAAAATGCCACTGAATTCAAAAAATTTCTTTTTGTAAATAGAATCGAGAAAAGAAATTAAATTCACGATTTTTTAATTAAAAGTTTAAAAAATTAAAAATTCTTCCTTTAATTACGAAACGCCAACATTAGTTTTGTTTTAAATTTGGATTACATTTCAGTTTTATTTGTTATTAATATGAACAAATTTATTTTCTATAAATTTGTCTTTATTAAAAGAATAAATTTTTTTCAGTCTGTTTTTAATTTTCAAAGATAAACAAATTCATTTTACACAAATTGGATTTTAATTTATTTTTCGCAAATTTATTTATTTTTAATTTAAGAAAAAACAAATTTGTTCTCGATAAATAAAGTTTTACTTTTCAAAGAAAAATTTCTCGTAAAGAAAGTATAATTTCTTTCAAAGAAAACAATTTTTCGTATAATAAAGAAAACAATTTCTCTTAAAAAAAAAAATTATAGAAAGGTTCAAATATCACAAAATTCGCAGTGATATTAAAAAAAATGTGAAATAGATTTTAACAGTACTCTGGTAATTGCAGGACATTACTTAAGAGTATAATAATTAACATGCGTGTAGTTTTTTTTTCACCTTTTGGAGTCACACAAAAAAAGCCAGTGTATCAGAATGTTCTGTTTGATATTGATTACTATGTGTATAATTATTATTATTATTATTATTATTAATTAAAAATTGTATCACCGACAAGCGTTCAGAGGATACTTATAATTATATAAAAATTTTACTGATATTTAATAATGTTATTATATAATACGTATATGCATATTTTATACTACAAAACCGCATATTGCTGTTAATAACTAATAAACTTTTAATTCTTTCTATATCACTTTTATAATTTTCATTTTTTTACATTTTAATACTCTAAGAAACGCATAATTTATTTATTATTCACTTATTTCGATTTTTTGTTGACAGAGAAAAAATGGGATACTTGACTTTTTTCAGTGACAAAGTAATTAAAAAATTAATTAGTTAGTTAAATTTGATTACTTAATTAATTTCTTACAAAATTGAATATAATTAATTAATTACTTATGGAATTAAATATAATTAATTAAATGTAATTTTTGCTTGATTCACTACCGAAAAAAGTTTTTATGACTTTTCGTATTTTAATAATATAATTATAAAAATATAATTCAAGAAAAAAGTTTCAAACTATTTTCGATAGTGACTCTAGCAAAAATTGTATTTAATTAATTAAAAGCATTTAAGTACTGAAGTAATTAATTAATTATACTTAATTAATTAATTATAAAATTAAAAAAATTAATTAAATATAATTAATTAATTTCTTAGGTATTTCGCTAATTAAACGCAATTATTTGAATATAATTAATTACTCGTGTAATTAAATTGATTAATTAAACAATTAATTAATATTACTTAAGTAATTAACTATAAGTTTTGCTTGAGTCACTATCGAAAAAAGTTTTCAAGACTTATTTTACATTCAATTGCCTTCCAATTTGTACAGAATAAAAATTACGACAATATTTTTCCTAATGTCTTTGCAAATGAAAAATTATGAAAATTCGAAATAGAAAGAGTTAAGAGGATTATTTTTTTAAATGTTATGTATAAGAGAGTAAGTAAACCATGTGCCTCTAACGACATACCTCAATAATCTTGTGGTTAGTTACCTAATATCCAAATTACTCTTGCTTTTTATTAAAATAAAAAAAATTACTGCAGAAAAATAATAATTAAATTCAATTTTGATTATAAGTAAAATAGAAATTATCTTTTAAATAATCAAATACAAAAATCAGATCAAATCAAAATTTTGAACTAAGAATATTTCTAAATTTAAAAAAATAAATTAAGTCAATTTTGATTACAAGAAAATTATGTTTTGAATAATCAAATATAAATACGAACTTTTTTAACTAAAAATGTTTCTAATTTTTTAAAATTGAATTAAAAGTCTATTTTGTAAAAAAAATAGTTCAAATTACCTTTTAAATAATCAAATATATACTTTTAACTAACAATATTTTTAATCTTTAAATACAATTTAAAAACAATTAGAAACACTGTTTTTATGAATTTGACAATAAATTGTTAATTACATTCAATTATAATCAAAATAAAAAAAATATCACCGATTATAATTTGAAAATCCAGTAAAAGTAAGTCTTTAAAAAATTTTTGAAAGAACAAAATAGCTCGAGTATTTTGGATGACGAATTACATTCGCAGGATTAACACGTTAGTTAATTCATATTTCGCGAATGTGTTGAAGTAGTGTTTTCACTTTTTTTTTACAAAGTCAGACTGTTTTGGAAAATAATTTTATTTTTTCGTTGAAAAAAATGTACAAAATCATGTCTGAAATATTCAACACTAGAAAAAAGCTACGTTTGTATATTTAAACAAAAAAATTCATATGCTTTCTATAGCTTTAAATTTCTGCCGCTGTCGTATTCAAAATTAAATTAAATATATTGCTTCGTTGAATTTAGTTTGTAAGAAATAACTGCCACGACAGGATATTTGTTGACACAAATGTCAAAAAGTGAATATATATATGTACTTGTTTTTTTGTATTATTTCGTTTCATATTTTTAACATTTTAACGCGAAGCAATTTTAATTATTTTTACACACTCTTTACCGGGGCATTTCAAATGTCCACTGTCTTTTTATTATTTTTTCTTTTACGAAAGAAAAAAACATTTCTCTTTTACGAATGAAAAAAAAACATTTCTCTTTTAAAAAAGGAAAAAACCTTTTTCTTAAAAAAGGTTTTTTTAATCAAAATAATTTTTCTTTCTTGTAATAGAAAAAAATTTTTTCTTGTAATTAAAAATTCGTCTATATTGTAAGCCAAGAATTTCTTAAAAATAAATGTGCCTTCATTATTATTTCATTTCAAATGTAGTTTATATTAAACGATTTTTTTTTTTGAACGAACGTAAATTGTAACTATTTAAAGAAAAAACAAGAAAAATATGAAATAAATGAAAGTTTATTAATGAACAGAAAACGTGTGTTTGTGTTTTTTAAACAATTCCTATTTTTATTAAATTACGCACCATTTCATATAAACTGTTTCTTACATTTATCGCAATCAATTTCGAACATAATAATATATCTAATTATCTAAAGATATTTCGCATAAATAAGAGTAAGGAGAGTAACGCTCTCGTGAACGTCATGGGGAAATGGGAAGATAGGGGGAAGGATGAGATAGAAAATTATGCTTAATAAGTCTTAACATTAAGTAATTTCCATTGGTCTTAGGATCCTCTGAAAAAGAAAAAGAAAAGAGAAAAATTAATTTCATCAAATTAAGATCGGAAATAACAATTTTTATTTTAATGACAGAAAACTAAGACTAGTAAAAATAAAAAAAATAAATTATTTGAAAAAGAAACAAACGCTTTGACTTAATTTCTATTAATTATTAAATGAATTTTTATTCATTAGTAAATGAGTGAGAAAAAAATTTTTGTTTAAACTACAAAACATGTCAGTACTTTTGTAACAGAACTTTTTAGAAGTATAAAAGTAATTTTAATGTAAAATATAATAATTGAAGCCGAAATTTAAATAATAATGATAATAATTTAATATTTGTCTTTTGTTAAAATTTAGTTATTACTTTTAATAAAATTGTATTACAAAATAGTAATTTAATATGAATATTGATCCTTATTTGTTTTTTATAACAAAACTTTTGTAATTTTAGAATTTTTCAATATGAAATTCTATTCAGTATGAAATTAATTTTATATTTTATTTTTAGATTTTACATTTTTCAATATAAAAATAATATAATAATTGGAGTTGAAATTTAAATAGTAATAATTTTACATTTGCATTTTCTTAAAATTTAGTTATTAAATATAGTCAAAATTTTATTACAAAATACTAATTAATACTGCAATAAAAATTTGTTTGTTTTTGGGTCGCATCATTAAATAAATTTTCTTCAGCTAAAGAAAATAAGAATAAATTCATCGCACAAATTTCTAAAAGAAAATTTGTAGTTAAAGCCAAACATATTTTCTCTTATGATAATTATTTAACTTTTAGGAAATATAAAGTATTTGTATAAAACACAAAAAGAATATTCAAAAAAAATTTAAGAATACTTACACAATGATGTTGTTAATTGGAATATGAATTAATTTAACGAAGAATCCTATGAAGCCCATTATACAGAAACCAATTGCTGTAGCGATAGCAATCTTCTGGAATTCTATAAAAAAGAGAATAGTATTAGTTTTATTTTATATTTTTCTTCTTGTTTTTCTATTTTATTTTTATAATTCATAATTTAATTAAAAATAAATTCAAAAAGGTCCTTTATTTCTTACGATACATCTTTACAAGTAAATTATGTACTTTTCTCATCAAGTATCAATTGAAAAAGTAAGAATAATTACAATTGAGATCCATAGAACAATTAAAAACACAGCAATTATGTTTATAAATGTTTAAACTGCAATTATGTACACAAAGGTTTAAACGACTATTTTTGCGAGTCAATTTTTGAATTTAATTCGTAAATACCTTTTCTGTCGGGTTTAGTGCATCTTTTGACAAGACGAATACTGTCTTTGGCAAATTGCCTTCCGGGTTCAGTAAATTTCTTGATTTGATCCATTTCTGCTTAGTGGACTGAAAGAAAATAAACTATTAATTATCAAATTAAAATAGTAATTAGTTAATACAGAGTAAAAGAGTAAATATTCTCATATACTACTCTGTATTACTTGACATTTCTACAAAATTTTCAATCGTGAAAAAATAAAATAATAAATACCTACATTAATAATAAATATAAATTACGCTTTATAAAAAAACGCAATAAAAATAACGGTTCCCGTCGAAATAAAATCATACTCTGAATGATAACGACAAACTCTTCTTTAATTTCAGTTCTCAACATCTGGCACACATTAATTATTTTTGAGACAAAACAAATTCTCCACTTAGCAAAACGAAAATCTTCGACATATTTCCAATGTTTGCATATTTAACGTTGCATACTCTCTTACAATTGTAAATTGTATAATTGTACAAGCAAATTATAAATAAAACAAAGTTAACAGTTACGTTTTTCTTAATAAACAAAAGCGACTCCGAAATATTTTCCGCTCACAAAAAAAGTCAAAAATATTCAATTTATTGAAAATAATAACTAAACCGAAATATATTTCCAGGTCGAAATTTTTTCACATCCGGATGAAAATTCTCTAAGGATAAAACAAGTGATTATTTGTTTATCATTATTTATAAAATATCTAATCGTCGGCGTAAAAAACAATTTAGAGGTTATAATCAATGAAATTGTAATCGCGTAGAATAATTAGACAAGATTTTAATTTAAAAAAATAACCATATTGTTTTACTCACATAAAGTAGGTTGTTGTCTTGAAGAAGATTGTCAGATTACTCACACTTTGTATGTTGTTTGACGACTAAAATTCCACTTTACTTCAACCAAAAGCACCTACGTGGACTCGTGTTTCACGAAACGTAACTTCCGGAATGGCGACGTTGCATACGAACTATGCTTGACAACTAATGCCACGTGTTTACTATTCACTCAATTTCTACAATTACTAATTTACACTATTCCACTAATATTATTCATTCAAAACACTGACATTTATCAATTCACTTAATTATTATGTCAAACAAGTAATTCTTTACTCATTTGCAATTCAGTTTCCATGAAAATAATTGATAAATACTTCTTGATTTGGCAACACTGCAACCACTACACACAAATAAATTTTGACAGTTCTCAAGCGCGCGAAATTTTGAAATTCAAAATTTAAATTATCCACTGATTAGATTAATTAAATTATATAAATGTAATATTATATTGAAAAAAATACGGTCTTTGTAAAAATCAAAAAAATCTAATAGGTAGTATAAAATATTAAATATTTGTCATGACATGTAATAAGAAAATTACATAAGGGTCCTTGATATTCTTGAAAGTGGGTCAAAAAGAAACGAGAAAAAAAAGGTTTCAGATGTCTTTTGATACGTTTTGTGTTCCCCTCAATAAAAGGAGAGTAAGAAATGTGCATTTTCAGTTGTCCTTTAATAGTGAAAACTTTTGAAAGTCCCTTTTTCATTTGCACCTTAAGTATAAAATTTTTTTTAAAATTAAATTTATACTGAATTTTATTTTAATTCAAAAATGTTATTAATTTTAATTAGTCCCTTTTTCATTTGCACTTTAAGATTTTTAAAATTAAATTTATACTGAATTTTATTATAATTCAAAAATGTTATTAATTTTAATTATATGCATATGTAACAATGTATATATAATAAAAAATATCTATAATAAACATTAAATTAAATTTAAAAAAATCAATTGATTTAATTAAAAAAATAGTAAAAAGAAAAAGCACAGAAAAAAATAGCTTTTATTCCATTTTAATAAAAAAAGATTATTAATTATAATTATGTTAAACTAAATATAATAAATATAATAGACAAATATTAATCTAAATAAAAATCGAAAAATAAGAAATTTCGTAACTAAAAAGTTCACAAAAAAAATAATAAAAAAATAATCAAAATTAAAATAATCATAAAATAATAAAAATAATAATAATAATAGAAAAATATATTTAAAAAAATTATTTTTTATCACAAAATTTGCTATAAATATATTAATAAATACGCAATCATAAAATTTTTATTAATATATATTATAAATTCTGTAAAAAAAATAAATTTTTTAACAACAAGAAAAATTAATTTTGTTATAAAATAATAGTTAATTGAATTGGAAAAGCAATTGGAACAGAATTAGCGAACACTTTCTAATTACTTTTACTTTTATTTGCAACTGAGCGCAAATTAAAAAAAAAGATATCCTCTAAACCCGATTAAATACGTTGACGATATGTGAGAAGTTTAAAAATAAAAAGAAAAATAAAAAATATTAAACTTATCACTTGAAAAATTTCTCGTATCTCAATCGATAAAAAAGTGCCAATTTCTCGCCCTCTTAAAGCGTCAAGTATAGTATAGTAGTAGTTTAGAAGTTCTTTCTTTGTGAATCCTTGCGTCTTTCATTTATTGTGCGCTCAGCTATTCAACAATCAACATGATACGAATTCTTTTTGTGGTGCTCCTCATCTCCTTCGTGTCAGGCGACAATTCAATAATACAAAAATGCGGTAAATAAATTACAATTTTTCTAAAATTAATTATAAAATCGATTTATTTTTTTCTTAATTTTTTCTATTTGAAAAAGAAAAATTTCTAGTTTTTCAAAGTGAACTTTTTTTCTTTGTAATGTATAAATCCTAGACGCATTTTGAAATGCTTTTATTTTCTTTTACTGTTTGAAAAAAATATTATAATAATGAAATAATCATAAAATTATATTATTTTTGTTTTACTATATATAACGAGTAATATTAAAGAAAATATTTAAATATACGATTTTTGAATTTCTCTCACAAAAATATATGTATTCTTTGTCATAGTTTTCTTTATATGATTCTTTGTAGTAGTTTTTTTATCATTACTATAGGCAAAAGTATCAGTAGAACGTCAGAACTTAAAAATAAAACATTTTGATTTCTAGTTGAAAAGTTTTTGCTTTATAAAAATTTATATTTAAAAGTTTTTTGAAAAATTGTTTAAACATTTAATTTAAACAAATTGTTAAATTTAAAAATACATAAAATTAAAATTTAATTATCAATTTAGTAATTATGCATAATTATAAAATTATGCAAAATGATAATGTTATCATTATACAACTATAAAAATATAAATATTAATATTATAATATTACATTAATACTATATTAATCTATAAATTATTTTAATATATTAATATGATCAAAATTTATGAATTGTAACATAAATTTGCATAATTTTCAATATTCTTTTATTCATAAAATTACACCCAGAAAAAAGATAGATTTGACTCAGAGACAACATTTTTTTATTTGTTTCAAATAAATTTTATTTCGTTCAATTAAACATTTTATTTGTTGTGAATAAAATTTTTATTTAAAACAAATAAATAATTTAGTACGGCTCTGAGACAAAAATGTACATTTCTTTAAGTCAAATAAATTATATTTGGTTTAAATAAAATTTTTCTCTGAGTGTAAATAATTATATATTTTTATAAAATAAAAATATAATATAAAATATAAACATAAAACTATATTTAAATATTTTCTTTAATATTTTTCGATTAATAATAATAATAATTGAAAATATAAAAATTTTAAATTTCCCAACTGACAATACAACTGAAAGTGAATAATAATTTTATGCGTGTAAGCATAATTTTATGATTTATATTTGCCGAATGATGAAATCGTGAAACAAATATTTAATATTTCTTTTATATATTTCTTTCTTAATGATCTACAAAGAAATTGCATTATTCTTTATTTTACAAAGCATTTAAATATTATACCTACGTAAAAAAAATTACCTGATTGTTTAATTAATTAATGTTATTAGAATATTCTTTTATTGTTATTAAAATTTATCTCACAAAGAACGCTTAATTTTAATTGTAAATATCACAATAGTCTTTTTATTTCAGAATGCAAATTGCACTTTTTTCTCACAATGTCAAATGATAATTTATGAATACTAGAGATACATTTTAAATATTAATGTATATTCTGGAATTATATATATATTTTTTTTTTTGAAAATTACAATGTAAATGTTTTGAAAAATTATTTATAAATTTTCCGTGATCAAGGAGAAAGTAATTAAAGTTTAAATTAGATCAATAATTATTTTCTATTAAAAATTTTTATTACTTAATCGTAATAACAATAACATAATTATATATTTTTTATTTATTCACGTAATTAACACAATAATTTTTCTTTATTATTATATTATTTTTGAATAAATAAATAAATAAATAAATAAAATCCTTTCTCTAGGAAGAAGCAATAAATAAATGAAAAATAAAGAATTAAATTTGTAAAAATTAAATTGTCTAGGGTGTACAATGAAATAAATAACTTATTTTATCTAAAAAATAAATAAATTTATTATAAAATGAACAAATATAATAATAAGAATAATAATAATAATTATTTTTTATTTTGTATATAACAATTTTTATTTATTTATATTATTGTTATTTTTTTATTTTTATAAACGGGCTTTTAATGAAAAAAGAAAATTGCCCTTTCGTATTATCATTATTATTAATTAAATTATAATCAATAAATATTACAAAAGGGTTAATCCCGTCTATTTGTTAAATAAAAACAAACAAAAAATATTCAGTAAATTTTTTCTATTATTTTGAACATAAAAAATGTTGGAAAAATCTTATGAACGCTATAAGAACAAATAAGTTTAAAGCTAAAATTGATAAAATTCTCAAAGTTAAAAAATTAAACAATTATTTAAGTGAACAGAATTTTTTCTAAATTCAAGTTCCATTAAAAATAAATGTATCAAAAAAAATAATCGCGGAATATTAATTAAATAAAAAGCAGGTAATTCGAGATATGTTGATAAAGGTCTATAATTCTCATTCAATTTCACAAAGATTTCAAGGTAAAAGCAATTTTCATTGTTGCGTCATTAAAAATGATAGGATATTCTTGTTGCTTCAAAAAAGAAGAAAAAATTTAAACGGTTCGTCTCCTTTTTCGTCAGTTTATCCTTTTAAACAATATTGACATTTACTGATTTTATTTCACTTAGATTAAAACCATACTACTGGACATTAACCTGATTAGATTCTTCAAGAGACAAGATTCCTTTTAAAAAAAAATAAATATATATAGAAGTTTAAATATGAAAGGTCGATAGCAAGGACAAGATATAAAAATTCTTAGACGCAGAATGTTAACTTGGACCCTGACCATTAAAAAAAAAAAATAAAAATTGTATAAAATTTCAATATTCCACTTTATATATTCAATATTTATATACTCTCACAGAAAATTAAAATCTTTTATATTTTTCCTTCTTCCTAAATGATTTTTTTTTCTCTCTTTACAGATGTTTGTAACATAAATGCTAATGAATAGAAAAAAATTTGCCAACGATGGCTTTTATCTATTAAATTTCTAAAATAAAAAAAGTAAAACCTCTTTTTCTTTTTTAAATCAATATTCTTTTGCTTATCGTAATAAAAAATAATAGTACATAAAATAAATATAATCGTAAAACATGTTTTGAATATTAAAACGTTAGAGCCGGAAAAGTAAATTTGAATATTAAAATTTTAGATAAAAAATACGATTTATTATTTTATTGTTATTCCGTAATTTAAAAATTCTTTGTATATTTTTTATTTATTTAATTATTATAATAAGAAAATATCATATATAATAATAAATATAATCGAAAAAATGTTTTGAACATTAAAACTTTAGTTCCAAAAAAGAAAATTGAAATATTAAAAATTTTACACAAAAAAGTGTGAAAAAATACGTTCTATTATTAATTATTGTGATTCTTATTTTACTATAATTCTACTGTGATTTGAAAATTTTCAAATTTTTTTTTTGTTATGCAGATTCTCCAGGTGGAAACGTCGTTAATACTACAATAAAAAATAGTAGAATTAGTGGTGGGAGATATCTACTGAAGCGTAACACAAAAGCTGGCATTGGAATTGAATTCGAAATTTGTGAGTTGAATGATCATTAATTATTCTTTAATTTCTTCTTTCAAACAAATCTTTTTTTCTTTCCTTTAAATAAATAATTTACCGACCAATATTTTTTACAAACATTCCTGATTTTTTTTCTCAATTTGTATTATAATATTAGTTTTTATTCGAATTTTTGCTTTCTTTTAAAACCAAAACATGTCTATATAATTTTTTCTTTGGTTTCTAATGAGAGATGAATGTTATAGTAAAAAACTTTAATACCTTCTTTGTCATTTTATTACAAAGTTTCTAATCATGATAAATAAAAAAGTTGTTTTTGTACGATTTCTGTGAATTTTACTCAAAAGGCTATAAATCATTAATCATTTTTTTACATTATTGTCAGCAGAAAAAGAACTAGTATTCTGTACACAAAAACCAATTTTACAAAGAAATTCTTCAAAGAAATTTAAGAATTTTTGGAAGTAAAAAATAAATAGTTTGATAATAAGTGACTCAAATATTATTCGAATTTTGTCACCAATTAACGAAATAGATAAAAATCTATTTCGTTAATTTTCACCTATTTTGGAAATTTTTCAAATATTTTTAATCAAACAATTAGTTTCTAAAAAAGTCTAATTAATTTATATTTTAACAAACCTTAATTTTAATTTGTAAATACTTTCATCAATCAAAATCTTAGTTGATTCTGAGTTTAATTTGTAAATTATATTTGTAAATTATATTATTTAAAATAATTTATATTTAAAAAGTTTCAAAAATAGATTTATCAGTTTTTATAAATTTGCTATACATATTCCCAAAAATTCTCAACATTTGAAATAATGAAAAATTTTTTGATATAAATATTTTGAAAAGTTATTTGACTTTAATAAAAATCGAAGACCTAAATTAAAGATATTCAAAGTTTATAAATTCTTTTTCATTCAAACGTGACATAAATTTGAATTTGAAAAAGAAATAAATAAATTTCGTTAATTTAAATTTGCACAACTTTAGGGACACAACTTGCTCTGTATTTCAAAGAATCTAACTTTCAATTAATCGAAATTTTATTTATTTCTAATCTTTATTCGATAAAAAAATTGTCAGTCCCATCAATTTTTAAACTTTTTAATCTAAATGAAGGAAAAAAATAAAATTAATCCTAATCTCATTGAATACAAGTAAGAAAAAAAATTATTTGGTTGAATAACAATTTTTTGTTAAATAATATAATAAAGTTAAATAAAATAATTAATGTAATAATTAGTATTAATTAATTGAATAAAAAATGCTAAAAATGATAATTTTCTTATTAGTTGACGAGGCGAAGACAGTAACTGCAGAAGTTGCAGGAGTAGTATTATCAATACCAATTCCATTTATACTACCGAATGCAAATGGATGTACGTCTTTAAAATGCCCCCTGCAAAAAGGTGGACCCTATAAATATTATAATGTTTTGGACGTCCTCCAAGCTTATCCTATGGTAACCTCATATAATTTCAATAATATATCATAAATAATTCTCTTATTCTAATATATCATAAATAAAATAAAATAATTAATTCAATCAAGTAAAGTACCATTTACGAAAAATATTCTATAAAAAAAGCTAAATTTTCGCATAGACAACAAACTATAAATTTTAAATTTAGGATATTTTGTTAAACTGTATTAATTTAGTAATTTATTAATTAATTTAATTATTGATTTCCTACACTAATTAGACGTAATAACTAATTATAAAAAATACAATTATTTTCATTGTAATTTTGCAGCTTACCGTGGACGTGATATGGAAACTCAAAGATGAAAACCAAAAAGTTCTTGCTTGCATTATAATTCCCGCAAGAATTGTTGCCTGATATTTCCAAAAAAGATGATAAATTAAGAAAATAATTGAAAGTATTATCAATTATTTAGTGTTTAAAATTAGTATAATATTATGATATTCGTGTAAAAAATTTAATTTAATTTTCTTGCAAAAAAGAAAACAAAGAGAAATGCTTCTACTCAAAAAGTATTTATTTTAAAATAGTAATCTCAGAAAATTTTTAAATTTTCAAAGCACTAGTTACCAAATGAGCAATTTCCTTTTGAGATACATTTTCATTAAATACTCAATTTAAAAATTAAATAAACTTTTAGTTCTCTTCAACTTTTTTTAAATTTCTATGTAAGCGTTTGTAATGCGTCAAAATTAAATTTTGTAATAAATAAAAAATATTCACTTTAAAATCTGTACTGTTAATATTATTATTATTTTTTCTTTTACTAAGAAAAATTATTTAAATATGGAAATAAAACAGAAAAACAAATGTAATTTAATAATAGAAAAATCGAGCAAGATTATTTCTTTTGCAGCGGAAGGAAAAAATTTTTCTTTTTCCAAAAAATATTACAAACGGAAATAAAGAGACAAAACAATTTCAATTTAATGGAAAAATCGACTTTGCAGCGTACTTACGAAAAAAATTGTTCTTAAAAAAAAATTCCTACAGACAAAAATAAAAAGGGACATAAATTAAATTTTTTAAAAATTGTTTACTTAAAAATAAAAATTAATTGTGCAAAAAATTGAAAAGAAACAATACCGCGTTACTCACATTTTACGTAATATTAATTTAAGTTTCCCCTATTAGACAAAAACTATTTTTTTTACTGATAACAAAGAATAGTTACTTGTAAATATGTTTAAACAGTTAATTTCTTATATATCGTTATCATTCTGTAACGTTGAGTGAGTTAAAAAATTGACAAATAATTTCAATACGTATTTCACACTTTTGATCAAAGAACATGAATCGTATTCTTTTGCTAAATTTTCTATTCGCATTAACATTAGGCGTTCAAGGCGATGATACTCCAAAATTACAAACATGTAGTAAGTACACAAAAGAAAATTTTCTCATAAAAGTATTTCAACAATAAATACACAAAATTAATTTTGTAACAACAATTTCATTTCAATAATTATTGTCATTTTTGTTTATTTTAAAAACAAAATGCAAAATTTGTCCTTTTTTCTTTAAAAATATTTATGATAATTAAAAAGTAAATAATGACTTTGTTCAAGTAACTTTTTCTTTAAATTTGTCGCAATTTCAACAACACTCCACTGACGTCACAAAACGTCAGTCTTTAAGTTATTTTTTACATTTAAAAAAAAATTTTATGTTAAAGGAACAGTTTTTTAGTTCTTCGAAAATTAAATTTTTTTTGCAGAATCTTCAATTGGACACGTCGAAAAAGCAATTGTCATTGGCAGTAAATTCAAAAATGGAAAATATCTTTTAAAGCAGGGCTCTGAAGCTGGTATTGAAGTCACATTCACAACAGGTAAATTATCCAACAATGGTTAATTATTATTAATTAAAATAAATTAAAAATTAAATCAGGTGTACAAAAAAAGTCAATAAATTAATTCGACTATTTCCTTATTTGTCGATATTAATTAAGTTATTGCAAAAATAATAAAAATAGTCTTGTATTTTATTTTGTTATATTGACTTCGTAGCTACGTCATTAAAAGATTATAACAGAACAAAAAAAAATATGCATATGATTATAGTTTGATATTTATTAATTTTATACTAAATACTCGCATTAGATACGTGCGCTAAAGAGCGTGTGTACGTTCTCATTCAATAATTAAAAGAATACAAATTAACTGAAATATGCAATTTATGCCTATCATTTATTTTTATTATTAAATTTAAAATAAAAATTAAGAAAGAAATTAATTGAAATTAACAATAATTGATTAACATAGGACAACTAACAAACATTGCGATTATCTTTTTCACTTAATTCTGAAGAATCAGAATGTTCTTATAAATCGTAATAAATTAAAAAATAAGAAAAATAAGAAATTATGCAAATTTTTTAACTTAAAAAATATTTAAAATTTCTTTAAATAATTTTCAAAATTTTTTTTAGAAATAAAGAAAAAAAATTGCATCATTTCTACTTCTTATTTCAAAACTTGTCGCGGCGAAGCAAAAGAAAATAAATAATTCCTGATTTCCAGAAAATTTTTTTACTTTTTCCTTCATTCCCTTGGAAATTCAAATTACATATCTTAAAAAAAGTGTAATTAAAATTTTTCAACAACCTAATTTTTTAAAGTTTTTGAATTTGATTATTCAAAATTTCAATAAACTTGTTAAATAAATATATTCAAATATTTATAATAATACATCTTTCCACAGAAGTTGATAATTTTAAAAATATCAAAACTTAAAAATGTAATACATATTTATAAATATAATTAAACTTCTACAACAATTGGAGTTTTCAAAAAATTGCTTCCTCATAGAGGAAATATTTTAAGTTGTAATCTTCTGCAATTTAATTATTTCTAAAAATTGCTACACTGCAACTTCTCCAAAATTCAATTATTTTTCTAAAATTCTTTTATAAAACAATTATTTTTATTAATTTTGAGAAAGTATTTCAAGAATTCAATTATTTGAAAACAAAATTTTTGATACTTAAAATTCGTCTAAGATTAAAATGGTTTTTAATTCTATTTTACGAAATCTTGATTATTCGACAATTCTTTAATTTAAATAAACAAAAGAAAATTCTAAAAAATTACTATCTTTATAACTAATTTAAAAAAAATTAAATCAAAGTTTTTCAAAGTTGTTAACAATTTTTACTCAAAATACATAATTGAAAATTGAAATCTTTAAAAAAATTTTCAAATTGGAATTTGAAACCTTTTTAAATTTTATTATTTCTAAAAATTTCTACTATAACTCTTCCAATATTATTTTCTAAAATTTCTAAGCCAAATTCTTCTCCTCTTCTCTCGTAATTTTTATAAAGTTCCTTAAGAATTGAATTATTCAAAAAAGAATAAGGACGTTCACTTAAAATAAAATTTGAAAAATTCAATTTTACAAAATATCCGTTATTAGAAAATTTCTCAATTAATTTTATATTCAAAAGTTGAACTACTCAGAAATTTTAAATTTAATTGTTTCCAAAAAATGTCTACTACAATGCTTCCAAAATTCAATTATCAGAATCTTTAATTAGAAGTTTTTCCCCAAATCAATTACTTTAAATAATTTTAATTCCACTGGTAACTGCTTTTAGTTTTTTTTTTTAAGTTTTTAAGGTGAAAAAGTTCAATCAAGAACAGTTAAAAGTTTCCAATATTTTCAAAATTCACCAAAAAGTAAAATTTTTGAAAAAAACAATTGTAAGACATTTTGGATTAAAAAAATTGTCATTTTATACAAAAAAGTAGTACTTTTTGTAATATGTGAAAGAAAAGTCTAAGTAGTCGCATTTTTCGAAAATAAATCGCGAAAAAAGTTGCATTTTTTAAAAATAGTCGAAAAAGTTATTATTCCAGGTAAATATTATAATATCAATTAGTAACTTTACTTTTCCAGACAGAGAAGTTAAAGATCTTAAAGCTTCTGCTTCAATCACATTAAATGGAATGGATCTCTCTCCAACGTTACCAAATTTAAATGGATGTAAAGTATTAAAGTGTCCTCTCAAAAAAGGTGGACCATATGTATACAAAATAAAAATGGCAATTGAAGAATATTACCCAAAGGTAAACAAAAAAAATCCAATAAGGATTTAATTAGGTACTTTAATTCGATAATTAAATTAACCATTTATTAATTCAATAAATTTCATGAAATAACCGAATTATTAAATTTTCAAGTAATTTTAGTTTTTTTTTTTAATTAATTATAATTAATATAATTAATATTCTTGATTAATAATATCTTGAATTATCAAGAATATAAATTTATATTCTAAAATAAGTAAAGTATAATTATACTATTTCTTATTATATATATATAAAATTTATATAAAATATATATAAATATAGTAGATATAAAATTACATTAAAAAAAAAAATAAAAAAAAAAAAAAAAAAAAAAAAAAATTACATTATTGACTAATATCGAAAATATTTAATTTTCAGATTGAGACAGTAGCGAAGTTAAAATTAAAAAATGAAAAAAATAAAGTTGTTGCCTGTGTAATTGTTCCCATAAAAATTGTTTAAATTGTTCAAAGATTAATTATTGAGTAATAAAGACATATATGAAAATCTGATAGTACTTATATTTTCTTTATAAATATCGCTGTTATAATATATTTGTGATCACAGAGCCAAGTATTTTGTTTAAAAAAATTTGTTTAAGAACTACTCATGTTTCATCAGCACACGTGACATTTCTAAATTCACGAAAAATTATTATCTACTTTTGTTATTCTTTTTTTTTCCTTTTTCTTTTCCTCATAATTTAAGAAACTTGTAACAATTATTATAAAATAAAACTTAATTGCTTAATAAATAAATAGAGTAACTAGTGAGACGAATACAATTTCCTGTTTTCATTTTTCTTTCTTTTCATTTTAGAGAGAATTATTTTATCCTAATTATATCAAAGACTATTTAACTAATGATGCGTTAAATACTATATGAGTGTGAAAGTACGTGAAATTTCTTTTTTTTTTTTTATGGAAAGCTTTTAAAGCTACAATATTAGTTCTGTGATGTTTGCATTTAAAGAGTAATTTTACATTCATCGATTCTAATATTATAGAAATTCCTAAATATACTTTTTGTACACTAAGCGTTTGTTTTTTCTTTTTTTGTTATTACAGAAATACGCACTCGCTGTTACTTCGGTTAGGAAAATGAGTCATTCAAACCGATATGACTGATATTCTCATGTTTTAATCGATAAATGAAATGGGTAATATATTAAAGAAAAAATTATTTATGACAAAACAAGAATTTTTTTTATAAACTAGCCATCACTATTTATAGATAAATTTTGTTACTTAACTCTTAGAAAACACATTTTAATTTTTTTTCTTTTTAGAAAATTTAAATAAATGAAAACGTATAAAAAGTTTAACTAAATAATAATAATAATAATTTCTACAACACTGAAAGAGTATTTAAAGCGCATTTTTTGAACACAATAGATATATATTTTTGACTTTTAAATTTTTCGCGCCTAACTGAATGAAAAATAGTCGCGAAAAAGAAAAGACTTTAATCCAGTAATTTCTGATAAAATAAATCACGATTATCTCTTTTTTTAAACAAAAAAAAAAACCCCCCGAACCTTCTTTCTACTAGTTGCATATTTTTGTAATATACAATTCTTATTGACTGTTATTAATTTCACGTTATTCTTAGTTTATCATATTATTTATATGAAAAATAGGAAGATTTCTTCAGTCTTAAAAATGATAATTTGTTTCTTTCAAGACAAAGAAAGAAAGAAAGAAGTTAATGATTAATAGAGAGGCCTATTTTTTTCGATAACAGTCAGATTGGTTTGAACTTGTTTTTTTTTTAAAGAGAAATGTACGAGACACTAACTAATATCAGTTGTTACACTAGGATAAGTCTTCTGGTAACTTTGGCATTAATCTGTCTGATATCAACTATCCATCGGTTCAGGTATAAATTCCGTGTCTAATTGATGATAGCTCCTTTTGCATCTCTGCGTTGTTCTACTTTGTTGTCCATTCTTTAATGTTTTCTGCGCTTGATAAATTGGTTCGTACTCTTTTAATTGAGCCATAAAGCCTTCATTTGGATTTATACAGAATCTCCTTTGTTGAACAATCGTGTAGGCTCTCCTAAAAAAATTTACTTCGATTTACTTCGTTTATATTTTGTGAAATTTCTTGTTTAGTTAAATATACAGAATTTACTTTGGCTAATGTATATTTTATTCAGTACTGGAATATTTTGTCAATATTGAAATTAAAATTTAATTTAATTTAAATTTAAATTTAAATTTTATTCAATTTAAATTTAAATTTAAATTATTGTAATTTTAATTTAATTTAAATTAAATTTGTATTGTATAAATTAAATTGAAATTGAAGTCAAGTTTTAAAATTAAAGTAATTTAGAGTAAATTTGTCGTACACGTGGGTCAAGCCGTAAGTTTCCATAACGTAAGCAAGAACAAGAGCTGCTGATCTTGATATTCCTGCATTTCCATGCACAAGAACTTGACCACCTGATAGTAAACCTTCATCGATGAATGTTTTCACTTTCTGAAAGTGTTGAATTATGTTTTCCGTTGCAACATCAGCGATATTTAACACTAAGTATCTAAAAATCAAATTATTTAGTAAATTGTAGTTCATAAATTTCAATATTGAAAAAAACAAACAACTATACTAATTAGTACAAATACAGGCTTCGCACTCGTTCATTAATTTAAAAATCTAGCAAAAAGTATTTTTAAGACTGAAAAGAAGAAGTAAAAAAGTAAAAAATTAAATTTGACAACTGAAAAAATTTTAGTTGATTAAATATGCAAGAAAAGTAAACCAATTTATTCAGGATTATCACAAAAATTTAATTATGTATTTTCCTGATTTCCAGAAAGAATATTAATTTTCTTCCTTATGCTGCTAAAAACTTCAATTCTAAATTTCTGTAAAATTCAATTATTATTTTCCAAATTTTCAGTCAGAATTCTTTAAAAATAATTTTCAAAAGAAAGAAAAAATACTTTAAAATATAAAATTTATTTCAATGAATTTCAACTATTTTCAAAAAAGTTTCATTACAATTTTTCAAAAAACTAATTTTTTCAGAATTTCTAAATTAAATTAATCAAAACTTAAATAATTTTTGCTAAATAAATATTTAAATACTTAGAAGTTGTTATTTATTATTCCAAAGATTTCAATTTAATAACCTTTTAAAATTTAATGATTTCTGAAAATTACGATTGTAACTTTTCTAAAATTCAATTATTTTTTTAGAAATTTTAAAACAAATTATTTAAAAATTTAATAACTTTTTAGAAAAATAATAAATTAATCATTTTTAAAACTAAATATTTAAATATTATTATACTTTTAGAGCAATTAAAATTTTCAAAGATTTTACGGTTGCCTAAAAAATTTGACTTTATGTTTCCCTGATTTCCAGTCAGAATTTTGACTTTTTCCATTTTTCAAAATTAACTTCAAGATTTCAATTTAATTATTCTCTAAAATTTTTAACTCGAATTCTTCTCTCTATTTAAGAAATTTTTAATTGAATATCATATTCAAAAATTCAATTAATTTAAACAAAAATTTAATTAAAATTTTTTTTTAAAAATAACTAATTGAATTATTAATTAAAATTATTTAAATGTAAAATTAAAAATTCTAACTTTCTAAAATTTGAGTTTAAAACTCTTTGAATTTCAATTATTTAAAAAAATTGTAACCTTAAGGGGGTATTCTGGTCTAGAGGCCTTAATTTTAGGCGTTTTTCCGAGTAAGATAAAAAAGAATTTTTTAAAAATAGTAAAAAAAATATTTTTTAAAATCCAAGGTCCCGGCCATAAAGAGATATACAATAGTATATTGTGCAACAAGTACAGAAAGAAGCTGTTTTCCGACGAGTGCAAAGTTTGCTGTCCCGAGCGAAGCGAGGGCAGCAATTTGCACGAAGTTGGAAAATCTTCTTTCGTACGTGTTGCACACAGTACTTTGTGCAACACCTTTTGGTTTTGATAAAAAAGCTGTTTGGAAACGCTAGTTGACGCCAACATACGTACTGTTTAGCAGGGTTTGGAACGTATGTTACCGCACGTAATATTCGTGGTTTTTTACGCGTATATTACTGTAAAAAACAGGTATTCTACAAATAGAAAACAAATACCTATGTATATCACCAAAAAAATCCAAAAGTTTAAGAACTTTGCCGCACTAGTGCAGCAAAAAAGCACTTTGCCGCACTAGTGCAGCAAAATAAGCACTTTGCCGCACTAGTGCAGCAAAGTACTGTTTTGCGCCTACTTTACAGGCATGCAAAGTATTACTTTCCTTACAGGTGTTGCACAAAGAATATTTCTGCAAAATTTGCAGTAAATCAGTTGAATAGATTTTGAGATATCGTGCCAACCAGTTTTTTTTCAGTTCCCACTTTACCAGTTTATAACTTTTAAAATTTTAGTTTTATTTCTAATTTTTTTCTGTATTTTTTAAACATTAATAAACAACTTGTAAAAAAAGTAAATACTAAAAATGTTAAACTTTCTTTTTTATCGCTATTCGGAAAAATACCTAAAATTGAGGCCTGTAGACCAGAATACCCCCTTAACTCTTACAAAATTCAATTATTTTTGGATTTTTTAAGTAAAATTATCGATTAAAGAATAATTTATAATATTTATTTAAGAATTGAATTATTTTAAATAAATTAAATTTCTTTTTCTGCAAATTTAAACTATTATTAGAAGTAAAAAAAATTTAATGTTTTGTATTAAAATTCGTAGTGATTTAAAAGTTTATAAGGCAACAAAAAGAAATTCGCCGACTTTTCCCTGATTTCCTTGATCAACTGTACTTTCCCTGAATTTCTTGATTTCCCTAACCTGTGACAACCATGATTTTAATTTAAAAACCTATTGAAATTCAATTATTTCTAAAAATTCCTACTATAACGCTTCTAATGTTTAATTATTTTCTAAAATCGTAACTGAAATTAGTATATTGAAAAAAATAAACATTAAATTTTTTATTTCAATTATTAGCGGGTTTAAAGTAGTGCAAATTCTCAAACGAAAGAAAAAAATATCTTTTAATGGTACAGATCTAAAATAATTTCAAATCGTAGCAAATCGTAAAAAACTAGTAAATAGTAGGTATTAATAAGTAATTATATGCGAAGCCTGCAATTAATAAATAGTAAAAATAGCAATTAGTCACAATAAACCTAGTACTTATAAAAATTTAACCAAAAATCGAAATTTTGGATTAAAATTCACGTACTTAAATCTTTCCGGAAAGTTGGGTTTAATGAAATAAGCTTCAATGTCTTGTCGAACACATACAATATGAGTTATTCCGCAATCTAACAGAGATTGTAAATTTGAGCGACTTGCAGCACTGTAAGGACCAAGATACAATCCAGGAACAACTTCCTAAAAAAGAAAAAAAAAGAAAATTAATAACAAATAATTAATTTTATCTACTTAATTGATACTCTACGAATCAAAGTTTTGCTTATTAGTTTTTCTATCAATAAATATGTTTTATTACTTTAATTATAATTATGTAAATTAACTATATAATTATATTAGTAAATAATTATTTTTTTCGATTTTCAAAAGATGTGTAGAAAGTTGAAAGAAAATACTTATTCATTTTTTTTCTAAGGCAACATTTCTAGATCGAAAAAAATAATTATGTACTAATATTTGTGGAAGGAAAAATATCTAACAATATTTATTTATTTGATATTTATTTATATTGTTAAATAATTATGTATTTTTGGTCATAATGTCCATTTTTTCAATAAATCATAACAGAAGTAAAAAAATAAAACTAAAATAAAAATAAACACAGAGACATTAAAATATTTTGTAAAATTTCGTAAATCTTGATATTCTTTCTCTTGTCCTTATTTTTCCCTTTTTTAAATTTCGAATATACCTAATAAAAAAAATTGTAATTATCATCACCTGCATACTCCTTCTCATTGTGTAGGTCCATTCCTTAGGAGCATCATAAGCAGAAGGAATACTTGGATAGAGTTCAGGATTTTGTTCATTGTTTTCCTGAATCTAAACGACGATTAAAAGCAAAAAAATAAAATTCCAGTCTCTTAACAATAATTACTAATCCACACATACTTATCTCTTTGTTTACATATTCGCATCCATTTTTTCCGCATGAAAAGTAACGGTTCATATTCTCATTCACTACGAAACTTTCAAAACAAGATTCAATCAAATCACTTCATAATATTGAAAAATATACACAAACATTCGCTCTAATATTTTCCAAAACATTTACAAACTTCCAATTTTTGCAAGGCAAATAATAAAACGCCGCAAAAACAGCAACAAATTTAACGAGTACAAACCCGTTATAGAAAACAAAAAAATAAAATGCCCGAATAATTTCTAATTTTTATAGAAAATAGTAATACGTCATGTATATGTATATGCAGACGAATAACATTTCAATATTTGCAGAAAAGCGTTTTGACTCGACAATAATTTTGTGGTCAACATTCATACGCATTTTCGTAGGAAGGAAAAATAAAAAAAAACTCAATTAAACAGACAAACAAATGCAGTCATAACCTTAAAATTGACAACTACGTTACCAAAGGAATCATTAGTGTTGTTAATATTTACCTCCTTGTGATGACTTCTATTATTATCAACGGATATCATACCGATAATTTTAACACAGACTTATCAATAAACAATATTAATTTAAAATATAACCGGAGAAAATAAAATTCTTTCACTAATTTTTCAACACTCGGATAAATTTTTTGACATGGCGGCCATTTGCAAATTTTCGATTATCTCGAAGATGAGATAATCACTGCGCCATCTGAAGTTATCTACACTAACCTTTTTTGCCGTCGCGGTAAATTTGAATTTATCGATTCTTTTATTAAAAAAAAATTAAAGTAAAAATTCATTCGAAATTTTTAGTAATATATAATATTTAAAAAATTAAGATAATAAAATATATTCCTAATAATTATTCGCAAATGTGAATAAAAGAAATAAATAAATATAATGAAATACTTTTTTAATTTTACAAATATTTCTTATTCAGTTTTAAATAATTCACTACCTACCAAAATAAAAATTTGAATAATTAATATTTTTATTATAAAAAAATAATTTTTATAATACGTAAAAATAATTGCAATAAATATTTATTTATTTACATCTTTTATTTATTTCTTTAATATTATTTAAATTAATTTTTTCTATAGAAAAAATATTTTCTTTTTTGAAAGAAAATTTTCTTTATCAAGGTTTAATAGAGAAATTTTAATTTTTATGAAAAAAAACGTTGTCATCAAAGTTGCATTGCACAAGTGTGTTGTTGTTTTTCTTTAATGATCCATAAAGGACACACCTTATTTGTCAATATTCATAGGACTTTGATTTTAAATACATATAAGTAAAATGTCGATAATTTCATAAAACGATGCAGCGCTTGTTCTTAAATTATTATTAACAATAAATTTTCATCAACTTTCTTTTATTTCATAATATTACGAAATGATTGTAAATTTTAATAAATATATAGGCATTCGAAATATGTTTCAATATTTTGAATAAAAATTATTTACAGCTCCTGTCTATTATTTATCATAATTAATTATAGGGAAAATTTTTTATTTTAAACTAAGTTTTAAATTACGTAATAATAAAATTGTTAAATAATTTTATAATAATTTAAATTCATTTAAAAAAAGTAATTTCAAAATATAAAAAATATTAATGTTGAATATTAATTATATTAAATGTAAATATTTTATTAAAAGTGATACCTACTGATAAAAATTCAGAAAAGATATAACAATAATAATGATAATAATTTTTAATAATAATAATACTTATAATAAAATTTGTATAATACCTTTTGTAAAAGTGAAAAACATTTATTTAATTAATTAAAAATTAAATAATCTAAATAAAAATGATACTAATGAAAATAATAAAAGAATTGTAATAATATACATTATATTATTTATCACAAATCATAAAATTAAAGAACTATTAGATGAGAAAAACCAAATTATCAACAGAATAAAGTTAAAATTATTTTGAAAAAACGTTTTTCCGCTCTTTAAATCTTTATTAGAGCAGAAGAATTTCAACAGTTCACACTTGGGGTATTAATATTTAAATTTTAACGATGCAATTAAGGTAAAGTGCTAATGTTTTACGATATACCTTGCCCCACTTTAAAAAGTTTATTCTTTAAATAATGATAAAATAGTTAAGGAAAAAAGATTTTATGGTTTTTATCTTTTTTGTCAAATTTTTTAAATAACTAGAAATTTTTTTTCTGTTTTCCAAATTTGAATCAGTTGAAAATTGACTAATTTAAATTTATAAAAATTTTCTACTAAAATAAAAAAAAAAAAATAATAAGATAATTATAAAATACAATTTATTTTAAATTTAATTAATATAGTAATAATAATAATAGAAAATAAAAAATTATAAATGTATTAAAAATATATAAATAAAAATTAAAAAAGATTAAAGAGACAAAAAATGAAATTAAAAAAGTAATTAACAAATACACGGAAAATAGCAAAAGTCTTAACTGAATCAACTAAAATTTTCTCTAACATAATGAAATTTTCAGCTACTTGAGGTAAAACTGTTTTTCCGTATGCGAACTAACAAATAAAATAGTCAAATTTTACTAAAATTTAATTTGAAAAATTTTCTCTTCTATTATAAATTTGAATAAGTATAAATTCAGATTAAAAGAGTATCGTTTTATGGCAAAAAAAAGTTAAATTCCAATTTTTTTTTCTTTTCATTTCAAAAAATGAATTTCAAACGGGTGACAGTAATCTATTTGATTATTATATTGACATAAAAATATGAAACACATTCCTGTTTGAGTTTAAAAAAAAAGTCAATTCATGTTTCCGTGGGCATAAACTTTTCAACTGGATGCTATTAGCAAATTGTGATCCCTTTCTAAAAATAATTGGTGTTCTGAAAATCGCATTGTCGTATAACGACTCATTTGAAGCATTCTTGCATAACCATCTTTTGTTTTCCAATGTTTTGTTTTCCTTCCTTTATTTCAAAAATAGAAATTTCCTATACTGTTTTTGAAATTCAATAACAAAAATTAATTATTTTACATTACCCCTCCCCCTCACACCTTTCTGCATAAATACAAAAACTTATTATTGGCTTTTTTTAAAATTAAATAATATAAAAAATTTCCTTCTTAAATATTAAGAAGGTAATTTTATTTTGTTTATTTATTTAAATATTATTTAAGTATGAAAATTTTTAATTTTTAATTTATAATACTTTACATACAAGGTGTTAATATTTTTCTTACATAAAAATATTTAAAAAGGAAATTAAAGACATTTTATGCAATCGGAAAGGGGGGGGGGGGTTTATACGTTTAATCATATATGTCAAATGAGTGTTGCTTTCGTTTGCAAACTGTTATTGGATCAAAAATTATATGAATAGTCCACAGTAAATTGTTTCTCAGTTTTAATCAATATAAACTATTTTATTTTTGCATTGCTAATGATTATTTTATTACTTTACAAAATTATTTATTAATGCATAGTTCATGACTTTTGTCCTGGAACAAGTATCATCACTAATTTCAATTTTTTTTTTATTGTTTATACTCCTGCCCTATTGGCCTTACGCACTTCGACAAGAGTACCCGAGAAATACTTTTTTGGATTAAGCATAACCATTCTACACTACAGCCGACTTTTATTATTAGGAGTACTCGCATTTGCCTGGACTACCCGTCAATGGGTTTTCTCGCCAGAGAAGAGGGAAACTGTAGAAAACCTCTCTCCTGCGAGTATAATCGGTTTATCGACAGTCGAGTTCTAATGGTGTGTACCGGACAATAATCGACGGTGCACATCATTATACCTCGACGACAAACCTCCCGCTCAGATTATCTCACGTGCCGGAAAAATACCAAGCCAAATGGGCGCGAACCAAGGGTACTTATATACCCTTGGTCCTTAAACGACCGCCAAGCGAGGCATCTATCCGACTGAGCTAATCCGTCGGTTTCACTAATTTCAATTAAACAAAATCACTTAAATTTTTTTTTTCTATTTGAATTAAGTATAATGTTTTCTCAGTGTAATTTATAATATATAATAATTATTTATTTACTAAGAAGCTTATGTTAAAAAATAAATGGGATCATTTTGGAAAGGAAATAATTACAATATTAAATTATTCAATTTTGCAATACAGAAGTAAAAATTATTTGCAATTCCAATTCTTATATTATATTTAAGTTTCCTTATTCATATTAAATTATCTTAAGAATTATTGCAATTAATTAATGTTTCCGTTACTATTCATTTAAATAAATGATATACTATTATAATTCGCTATTTTTTAAATTTGAAAAAATTTTTTGATAATATTAGCATAAGCGAAGGTTGAAAATGCAAATTCTATATTAGACTGGTATTTAAACTATCGCATAATATTGTAAATTACTCTTAAGAATTTCAATTAAATAATCCTTTTACATTCCTTTCCGTAGTTTTTTTTTCGAAACGCATTTTTTTTCTATACAACATTATAAATAGACGATTTTTTTTATCAAAATTTCTACTATAATAAAGATTGTTTAAGTTCAGTAGTGTATTTAAGTTTATAAATTAAATTTACATTTATAAATTAAAATAATTAAATTTAATTTAAAAAATTTAGGGCCTGTTCCATCATTAGAATAATTTTAGTATTAATTTATTAATTAAAAATGAACTTAATTAATTTAAAACACACTCTAAATTTGAATTAGTAAAAGTATTTACTAATTTGAATTAGTGACTGACTGTTTATTAGAAATATGCACTAATTTACAAGCAAAAAGTCAGTTACTAATTCAAATTAGTAAACATTTTTACTAATTAACAATATTAGATTAACAAATTAAATTTAAAATACTTTTAGATTAAATAAGTGTATGAACATATTGAACCAAAAGAATTTTTCGAATCGGATAAATACTTTCATGATTCAAGTATACAATTATTTTGCTTATATGTATGTCAAATAATTTTCTTAATAATAATTACTTGAATTAATTTTAATTAGTAATTTCTAGTTTCAAATATAATAAATATTTAAATACAATAAAGACCTTTTTATTACAAAATAGTTTTAAAAAATGTTTTTAACAAACAGTAAATAAAAAAAAGAAAATAATAACAATAATAATAGTTATTATTATTACTATTACTATTACTATTATTATCAGATGAAACTTATTTTAATTTCTCCCCAGGAGAATATTGAAAATTGTATTCCATATAGAATATTTATAATATGACGGGTTCCACGTTAAGTGACCCAGGTCAAAATTTTAAATGTTTGGGATCGGGTAAAAATTTTGCAGAAACAATAGTCCTATTAGATACAATTAAAAATACCAAATATTATTAATTTATTTAAACAAATATAAAAACTGGAGGGGGTCAAAGTTTAAATTTTTGGTCTAACATGGAATATTTGAAAAATTTGTAGTTTCTTTAAAACAAAACGAAAATACGTTTTCTATTTTGGGTTCTTCTGATGCTTTTCAACACTTTCTAATGGTGTAAACAAATGTAGAGAAAAAAAATGTTTGACCTTGAAAAATTAAATTAAAAAATAAAATTTCATTTTTTCTTCAAATGGACAGTTTTTATTTTTAAAAAAAAATTTTTATCATAAAGGTGAGGTTTTTTCCTAAAAAAAATGTATAGGTCAAAACGTGGGACAAGAACTTTTAACTGGTCAAAATAAACATTTACTTCTGCAATC